AAAAGTTACGACAGCTGAAGAATCATGCAATAGTGTTTCTCGTAAATTGAAGACTGCTAAAAAAATAACTAGGCAAGCACAATTAAAAAGGTAAGGCATAATATACTTGTATTGTATTATATTTAAATAAAGAGAACATGCTAAGACAAATTTGAGCATACTTATATATGCTTGTAGTGCAGTTTTAATTTGAAAATTCTGCTAAATTAAATACATTTTAAAGATTACGAATGGCCCAAGAAATACAAAGGAAACTAGAAGAAACTGAAGTAAAACAAAAGGAATTAGAAAGCCGAGGCGTAAGTGTCGAAAAAGCGCTGCGTGGTGAAGGAGGTAATACAATATTATTTACATATGTATAGATCCTTTCAAGTTTTTAATATTTAATCTTCGTTATTATACCTTAAAATTAGAATATAATATTCTGCTTATATATCTAATTTACTATTACTGTAATTTCTAATTCATTCTATTTGATTTATTTATCGATCTTTAATTGTTTTTAATTAAAAAAAACAATTGATACATATTAATTATTAAAATGAATATTTTATATATGTGTAAGGAAAAAAATATAATATTAAATAATTTAATTTAGATTCTTCCAATCGTGAAGAAGCTGATTTGCTTAGGGAATGGTTTGATTTAATGAAAGAACGTACGGAATTGCGTAGATATGAAAAGGAACTTCTAGTGCGTGCGCAAGAAGTTCAATTGGAAGATCGTCATGAACGATTGCAACAAGAATTGCGTGAACGTTTAGCTGACGATGGTAAATATTTCCAAATTTTCTAATTACTAATTTATTATTTTATGATAATTATTAGAATTTATCGAACATTAAATATTCTATTAAAAACCATACAAAATGTTAAAAATGACATATTTAAAAACTACTAACATATTATTATCAGCGAAAAATTTTTAGATTACAATGTATATGTAACATACAACAGTTTTATTAATTATAATATATTGTAATATATTTTCACAGATGATAAAAAGACCAGTGATGATGTTAAAAAGGAAGGAGAAATCTTAACGGAAATGTTAGAGATAGTAGCAAAAAGGGATTCTTTAATCGCTCTATTAGAAGAAGAACGACAAAGGTGGTGTAAATCATCATGTTTGATGCACATATCACTTCTACAAATGCATGTTATGTCCATATTTTTATTTTCTCTCACAAATCTGAGTATTTATCCTACATTTTCAAATTATCAACTATTTTATTTGTTTATATTTTTTTCAATTCATATAGTGGAAATATTAATTAATTATTGTCAGAAATCGTTAATAGCTCTTTATACAGATTTTTTAATAATGTTGTGTATTTTTTTGAGCTTTTTGAAAAAATAAAGATGCAAAAAGTTATATATTATGATTTATTCGTATTATGTAAAAAGAAGAAATAAGCTAATAATGAATGTTTAAGAATGTTTAAAATTTCTTTTTTAATCTAAAGTTTCTCTTTAATAGAAGCTAGATCAAGTGTAAATGTTTTTGAAGGAAAATGATTGGACTAAATAAATTTTTGTGAATATACCGTTTTAACAAATTATTATTTTTCTAAAATTAATACAAATATATTTATTTTTCTTTTAGATATCAAAACGAAGATCGTGATCTCGAAGCTCAAATGTTGGCTAAAGGCCTGAGATTAACGCCAATTAAGAAATGTGGTCCTAAATATTCAGTCTAAAAAAGATACGCTTCTGTACATATATTCTCCGCTACAATTTTTATTGCATGATAACACCAGAAGAAAATTTTATATGTATATATATATATATATATA